CTCAGAGGAATATCTCTGGAAAAAAAAGGATAAGAGCTTTAGGACCAACGTTAATATTAGAAAAGTAACATCGGTTTTGCTGTTTCACAGAACCAAGATATGCTGTTGTTGTAATGTTAGCTACAGTAACAGGACATTTTTGAGTCTCATTGTTTGTCTAGACCTGTTGTGCTTCTGGCGAACTCATGCTTTTATGTACTCTGATGTACTGCATGTTCATTTTGAATGACATGACATGTTCTTGCTTGTCATTCATTCGTCATCTTATGATCATTATTTTGCCTCACTTTTGTTATATATAAAGACATCTGCTCTTGTAATGCGTGTTCATGCATTTTTGGGGCGGAGCAATGAAGGGAGGTGTGTGTTTGTTTGGGTTGATTTCAAATGTCAGCGTTCAACAATGATTCTCAGAAATCACCTCCTCCACCTTTAAAAAGGACATTAAATGCCACCTGAAATACAAAACCTCATGGAATCATAAAATGATGCAGAATAATGTAATATATAATTAAATGTTGCAGTCAATAAGCATGAAAAGTGAGAACAAATAAATAAATTGGATGTGAAATGTATTAACTTGTGTAACATGAAAAGTCACCTGAGATACGACATAAAGTCTTGAGGGTGGGGAACGAATTAAATATGAGTTCATTGTACGTTTATTTATTTTTTTATTGCGACATGATATATTTAATTATCAATCTATTTAATTGACCCCTAGTTTCACAGCCTAGTCCCAGACTAAAATGCTCGTTTTAACTGTTTTAATCGAAAGCAACTTGTACTGATATATCTTAAAATAATGTCAGTACCATTGTTTTGTCTCAAGATGCACACCAGTAATGTTTATTTCGAAATCATGTTTATAAAAGTTATTTAAATGCCCTAATTGAGCTAAGGCCTAACCCTGTATATGAAACCTGGCCTTTGTCTGTTAAATCTCTCCACGGCTTTGTTTGTCCTTGAATCGGTTTAAATGACAAGCAGATCATCTGTGACTCATTCACCGATGCGCTTCCTGCTCATCTCCTGTTTCTTTCTTCTTGCCGGTCACGTCCCTCATGTCGTAGGTTTCGTAAGCTTCGACAACCCGGCGAGCGCTCAGGCTGCCATCCAGGCCATGAACGGCTTTCAGATCGGCATGAAGAGGCTTAAAGTTCAGCTCAAGAGGCCTAAAGACGCCAACCGCCCATACTGAGACAAACAGGTGAGGAAAACCGGAAAAGATAACCGGCGCCTCTTCTCTAAATCTCTGTTATGCTTTATAATGTGTGACCAGTTCTAAACTAACAAGTCTTGCCAGAATATCCTGTTTTGATTGATTTATTAAAAGAATTGTAACCTAAATAACTCATCAGCATTAGATCTTAAAAAAAAAAAAAAAAACGTAGTCAAAAATTAATTTTTACTTTCATTTATTGTTTTTGTGCTGTGTCATTGTTCAAAAAACGATCAAACAAACAAACACAACCTCATCCGCACCAAGGCTGCCCCGTCCAATCATAACTCGTGCGGAGACCACGTCGCTACGGCTACGGTGGCCTAGCAACCAATAAAGCTCCCCCTTCCTCCCACAGCGTTGGTTTGTAAGTTGATTGGCCTGTGTTGGTTGCTGTGGCGATATTCCTGCCTGTGATGGTTGCCATTAGCAGTTTTGTTTTTTGGCCCTTTGTCATGTATCCTCCATGCTGAGAGTGCATGGCGGGTTACCGTGGTGACTATGGACTGTGTTTGGTGCGTTGTGACTCTCTTTTTGTTTTATAAATACTGATCAATAACTGACACTACATCTGTGATTTACTCTCAACGTAATGGAGTTACTCCAACTAAATTGATCCTATTGAACTCTAATCAACCAGCTCAATGGGCTACTTTTGGGTGGATTTTGTTTTTGATCAGTCTCCTCTGTGTTTTGTTTGGTCATGACTCTAATTCTTCTACAAAATACTCCCATATGTAGTCTGGTGGTGTTATAGTTACTGTGAATGTGGGGTGGGGGTGGGGGCTCTCAGTGTGGTTGTATTTGATTCCAAGAGAGTTTGTGCTAGTGGGTATGCTGTTTCGTGCCAACGAGTGAGCTTGTGTACGTGCTTGCGTGAGTGATGCGAACGATTCGTGCGTGAGAGGTAGGGAACTTCATTCATTCTACCTCTCAAACCTCTCACGCTGAGGTTTGAGGTGACACTTTGTGGTTGTTTTGGTGAGAAAAGTAACGCATTGTGCCGACCAAAGAACAGCATTCCTCTGTAGGAATTCTGGGTTATTTTACAGTCAAACTACATTCGGTCATTGGTTTGAGCGCTCAAAAAGACGCAGTTAAGTCACCATCTGAAAAAAAACAACAAAACGATACAGCCCAGAATTCCTATGGTGCATGTTGGAAATTTGTTTGCCTGCCAGAAATGTTTCCCCACTTTAAACACTAACACAGAAAAACACACACTTGCATTAAAAAAAAGAGAAAAACCATTCACTGATTCACAACATAGGTTGCATGGAAGTATAGAATGGTAAGCATTAGATAACCTTCCCAAATGCTATCTTTGTGAAACAAGTAGGAGTGGGTTTTTTTTTTTTTTTTTTTTTTGTGGATCGGTGTGACTTGCTCCTAACTGCGGTTTTCATTTTCTCTCTCTCTCACAGGGAAGAAAGGAGAGGCCTAACGGAGTCACTTTTCCTCTGCTGCAAATTACGGGACCAACAACTTTCGCAAAACTACAGTATAAGACCTACCGAGATTATTTAAACATAAAATATACATTTAAAAATAATAAAGACAGACTTATCGCAGGAGGTGCAGGTTAAATAGAATGATTTACTACCTTAACAGTATACGATATAGGACCAATCAGCAACGCAACTCCACTCACTGTTCTGCTTCACAAGCTGTTGTGCCGTGTGCTTGTGGGTCGTGACCTTTCTGCCGGCGACCCACGCATCTACGCCTTGCGCGCACACACATACACAAATGGGACCAACGCTAATATGTCAGTACTACACAAGTTTCACTTCTGGGTTAAAAGGAACTACAGACTATTAAAGTCTTTCTGCAGCAATCTAAAATATGTAAATAGAAATTCCAGGGGACCACGTGTAGACATATCGAAACAGTTGGGAGGGTGGGGCTGGGTCCACGCGATCAGAGCAAAGAATCATGGGTGGTTACGGTAGCTAGAGAAGTTTTGGGAGAAGGATTTGCTCTCGGTCTCTAATCTGAGTCCAGTTATACATAGTTGTTCATCTTTAATTCTTACAGAAACTAATGACCTGTGGTATAGGATGCTGGTCCTATATTGCAATCCTCCCTAAAATGACTGAATATAGTTTATCACAGAGAGGCTGTAGTTAGAGGTATTTTTTTGTTTCGTTTTGTTCATTTTTTTTCTTTGTGTGGATGATTCGAAAAGATTCACGAACGTTAAAAATGTATTTCATTGTATATATCATGCGTTTAAAATGAAGGTCAAGATTTAAACATTTGGGATATTATTATTATTATTATTATTATTTAGGGAAAATGATTTCTATCCTTTTTTGCAATTAATTTATCCATTTCTTGGAGGGCATTTTTTAAATTATTTATGAAGATAGAGGATCATTGGGACATGTTTCGATGAATCCATGTATTTTTAGACATTTTATTTACAGATTTACCATTAATGAACAATCATTATTATTATTATTATTATTATTCTATTTATTTTCTTCAACTGTTGTTTCACAACCTGTCGATTACAAAAAAAAAAAAATTTGAATAAAATTTTAAACAATATTTTTTTTGTTTGTGTCTGTGTGTCATCACTGGAATAAATGTATGTGTATTTGTGATATTTTGTGATCTTTAAACTTGCAGGAGAACATATTTTCACTCATTATTTATGTATGCTAAAGTCTTCATAATCATTGGCTTTAGAAAAAGCTTGTGTATCAACATTACTGCATATTTATAATAGCTGTATGTAGTTTAATTCTTTGCAAATTATTTGAATAGACTATTGTTTATCCTGCTAATTTCAACATTTGTAAGATGGACAAAACTAAATTTGCTGTTTTTTTTTAATCAAAGACATGCACATTGAAAACAATAATTAGAAATGAGAAGTGTTTACCTTCTGGATTTAAAAAAATAGTTATATATAGTTTTTGAAGAACTGAAAAATATTAACTTAATATGATTTAATATTTAATATTAATAGGAAAAAAGCTATTATTTTAATTTTGAAAAAACAGAAACAAAAAACAAATGCATAACTATGCATTAATAGCAAATGCATCATGTTTTAAATAATATTAGGCTACTCTACAATCCATATAGATACAAATCTGTAATTAATTGGACGGACTTTGTGTCATTGTCATGAAATTAAATGCCTTGTGATGCAATTATGGTTCTTCAGATAGTATACTTCTAGTTTAATGATATTTTTTCAATTGAGACCCACAAATAATCCCTAGTTTGTTTGTTTTTTTGCATGAACAACAATTACAGAACATGAACAAAAAATAAATAAATAAAAATACAAAAAAAGTACATAAAGATACACAAATACACAATACAAAAACTGAATGAAAACAAAACTAAATGGACCAAACAAACAATAAAATGCTTTGACATTTCACAAAATTGGCTTTTTATAAAAAAAAAAAAAAGGTTTCTGATTAGTAAATTTACACCGATGAATATGAAACTTACCTAAAATAATCAAAAGATTAAAAATATGTGCTTCCTTTTCCATGCTCTTTTCATATTGTAAAAAAACAAATATTACATCTTCGTATAGCAAAAGAAAATGACATCCCAATTTGTCATTTATAAATTTAGAAACTTCCCAGTCCCACCACAATCTTTTGGTGTATTTAATTTACAATTTTACATTAACTGTCAGGCTTCCACAAAGGTTTCGTCATCCTTAAAACGTCACAACTCACATGCAGTTAAACGTCACCTTAAATAGCATCTGCCCCGCCCTTCATATTTAGAATCAAACTCCTCGGTTTTTTTTTTTTGGCCCACCTCTTCTTTCTTTCATTCGCCTGCCTGCCTCGATTCGGCTCTCAACAACACCCGGCAAAAGTGCGTCTAGACACTTTAAACTCGGACATGTGAAGAGAAAAGTTTATAATTCTAGCTACCAACAGTGAACGAAGCGGGGAAAACACCAAAAAGTGGAAGAGTTTGAACGTCAGCTTTAACACCAGCCTTCCTTTGGCGTTTTTTTTCTAATTGCTACGCGGATTTAAGAAAACTATGCTGACCGCTTGGATTATGGATTATGAAGAACGATCACAATTGTACAGATTGCCTTGAATAACTGCGAGATTACACATCTTTTCATGCACCTTTCCTAAATCCATCTCATCTCATCTCCTCTCCTCACATCCGTGTGTTTCGCACTACTGCTGAAAGTAAGTACGTTACCGTCGTAATACGCAGTTATACTTATTCCCGCGCCGCTCTTTGTAGTTGAGCTGACCCTTTCTTAAATTCATTTTCATACATTCTCATGTTTATAGAATTTATAACCTAATGTTTTGTTGTGGCTCAATCGCCTCTTGAAGTCAGTTGTTTGATGATGTATACGGCCTACACTGGGAACGGCGCAATGAAAGTAACGTAACTTACACACTCGAATTTAGTAGCGCGTGATGTGTTGTTAATACTAGTCGTCGTTTAAGTTAGTAATACGTCGAAATCCATAAATAATTTGGAGCACGTACAATGTTTTCTCTTTCCTGGTTTTAAGTAGCGGGTTCCATGTTTGAAAGCTGCTCGGATAATGCATTGTGAGTGAATGTAAAATTTAGGATTAGTTTTTCCCTAACGTTAGACAAGTTAGTCTTTTGAAGACCACCTGGAGCGAATCTTGTTAGCCACGAATGTTTTTACACTAAAGGACGTCGGCTGTTTTTCACAAGCAGGTTTTAATGTAAACCGTTATAATGGAAGGCTACCTCTTTTGTACGATGTCATCAACGTATCAACTTGTGATTATCGTCTCGTGTTGCACTCGAGCCTCGAGGGCTTTGAAGTCAAGTGGACTCTCCTACCTATGAGTGACGTTATGGCATACGTGGAGTAAAAGGATAATGGTGCGATGACGAAAACATCGTATGTACGAGATCACGCCACCACAAAGTCGTAAATACAAGTGGGAAGCTCTGGATTTTCTTTTCAAGTTGGGGCGTGTCAGTGAGAAACCTGGCCGAAAGCCACACATATTTATATAGGTATTTGGCTGTGACTTTAGGCATTTTTATTTACAACCAAATAAGCTAATTCACTGCACAAATGTAGTAGCATTGTAATATAAAACCAACGTATGCAATGATAAGTTTACAGTAAAGTTACAATGACTTTATTAATTAATTAAAAACATTAAACTGCAAAATACACCTGATGTACATTCTTTGTTCTTCATTTTCTAGAAGTAGATTTCAAAAACCTTGCTGTATTTTAAATAAGAGAAGGTACACCATCATCTTGATCCGACTAAAGTGAGTTGAACGCACCTTTGTTGAAAATGTTATCTTTTTATTTAATTGTTATTTTTGCAAAAGAAAATCTATGTCCTTTTGATATGTTTTAAATGAAATTGTTCACTAAAAGACTAGTTCATCATCCATATTTTGCACCTACTATTTTTGGAATATTGGATAAATAGTCATAATACTGATTTGACCTACTACTTTTTGTATAATATGGAAATATAGGCATAGTTGGACATGAAACGTCTTTTGTATCAAAATATGCATACTTAGACATTGAATCATTCACTGAAATCATTCATTAATTCTAAATACATGTGATAAATGTCATTGTGAACAACTCATCCTTGCACGTTTCATTTTTCTCCAATTTTTTTAGTCCGTTTAAAGTGATAGTTCACCCAAAAATGAAAATTCTGTCAGTAATTACTGTCCCTCATGTTGTTCCAACCACGTAAGACTTTGGAACACAAATTAAGGTATTTTTGATTAAATATATATAAGGCTTCTATGGGATAAAACTTGCCAGTCCAGAAAAGTTATTAAAGACATCATAGTCCAAGCGTCTACAGTGGCTCAGGCCACCCTTAAAAATATTCTTGTTTGCCGTAACCCGACCGACCCTGTCAATTTAGGGCCGACCCAATTTTTTATTTTTTTTCCCTTTTAGTCCGACCGACTTGCCAGTTGTAACTTGCGTTCAGACCGACCGATTTTTTTTTTTTTTTTTTTTTACTCTTCAAACGACTAATTCAAATTCCATAAAATGATATTTTAGTTAGTATTGTGAAAGTTGCTTATGTCTACAAACGTAGGCTACGTTCTTTCTTTTAAATAAAAACCCGTGGCGTCATAGTCATCTGATTATGTTTACACGATTGGTTTACCCGTGTCACACTGTCTATAAGGCTTATACGTTCGCTTCGTTTCATTCAGTGTTCCCGCTTGGTAAACCCGGTATTAAATGGGCTGAATATCAACCATTTCTATATATAATAATAATATTAAACAATTTGTCTGATGCAATTTTGCTATTCCCAGTCCAGAAGAGAGAGAGCGATCTCTCACCCGGAGCCACAGCGCGAACAACATGACAGCCCTGCTTAATGAGTGACAATGAGGACAGAACGTGGTTACCTACACTTTAGATCTGGGATATTATTCTAATTGTATTTTAGATTTCCGCTTTCAAAGATTATAAAAAGATATTTGAGATGAAACCATTACAGACGCATTCTGTCTAGCGCAACTTCCTTCCCTTCACAGCGTTGCGCTGTCATTTCTTCCTAAAACCCAAACGTACCGTCAGAATCAGCACGATCGGTAATTGTTGTAAAATGCAGTCTGTACTGTTGCTAAACTGCGTACGGGTTCAATCATTAAAAGAGCTATTAAAAGCACAAAAGTCTGCGCAAGAGACGCTGTTCACAAGGTGATGCGTGCTCCGAAATGCACTGCAACGGGACAAGAAAAGTAGGCTATAGCCTCATTTTGGGCTTCATGTGCGCAGCTAAACTATCAAATATACATAAAATCTAAAATGACCTGCTCTGAGATTCATTTAAACACAGTTTATGTCTTAAATGGATGTGAATAGTTGGGAGGATATGGTGGTGCATCAGTCATCTGTTAGATCCGCACTCGGTCTTAAAGGGGCAGTAGTCTAATAAACATGTGACGATTGAGCCAGTAATGGGAATCAAACACAACAAAAGGCAGAGAAAAATCACTCGCAGCTCTTGAATTATTAACTTAAACTTTAATAAGCATTAATCTAACTATGATAAACCATGCAGTGTCATTTTACATTTGATTTACTAAATTAAATTTCTTTTCAGACAGCGCAACACACTTAACTGAAAAGTAGCTAATTTTAGACCTTTCTGAAATTAAAGCACTGTGTATATAGGCTAATTTGTATCTTTGTTTAAATTGTATTCTTTGTTTCACCATGTGTTTGTACTTGTTTTTGCTTATATCTCATGTATTTGGGGAAAAAAAGCCTGCACACTGCTGCATAACAAATACAGTAGATATTTATTCATTTTGTGACTGGCCTAAAAACGTAACCGGTTGTAGGTTGCAATAACACCTAGTGGTGGATGCACAGTTTGAAGACCCAGTCAGTGACGTCACAGTATGCAATTAAAAAAAAAAAAAAAAAAAAAAAAATTCATGATCACCATGACCAAAATTTTACTTTTTTTTTTTACACTGAATCCTGGAAAAAAAAAATATAGACCTACCTACCGACCCTTTTTAAAAAAAAAATTGCTGTTACTGCAAACCAAAATATTTTTAAGGATGGCCTCAATCTAAAGTTTATCAAGCGACGAGGATACTTTTTGTGGTAAAAAAACTAAAACAAACAAAAATAACGACTTTATTCATCTATTAATTTCCTTCTCTGTGGGCCTCGAGTTACGCCCGTTTCACACATACTCCGTTTGCAGTGCGTATGCGGTCCGTATTTTTTTCCGTACCCATGTTAACAGGTTAGAGCTTTCACACTGCACGCGGATGCAGTCCGTCGATCCGTTCCAGTTGCGGTGCGTATACAGCAGTGCAGAGATCGTTTCCGTACCGAGTCTATTTCTGCTGTGCTGCAAACGCAGAAATAAAGTGACAGCGCACGGTTCGTGGTCAAAATGAACTCAGATTGACCTCGAAATGTAGTAGTTTCACCATAAATGCATTTAATTCAATAAAATGTAGTAATCTCTCCATAAAGGTATTTAATTGTTTCATATTTTTACTTTAAGACATCTTAATATACAAGTAATGCATGGAATTGTATGCATTCGCTGTTTAAATCGTGTTTAAACGAGCATGCGTCCATTCAAGTTTGTAAAAGAGAATCGCAAAGCCATGGCAAAACTTTTATTTTAAAAAAAGTTACTGCATATGGTGAACATATTTTGATTACCAAAAACCAGGACACATGGCCCAGAAAACAAATGATACTCGAAGTTTACTCAAAGATGCCTTATTAATTTCAATACAATTAAAATAGGCTATGCCCCCTCTGTGGATAGAAAATTGTTGTATTAAGACACAAAATCAGATAGCCTTCTCAGAGGATACTCAACATGTTTTATTATGAAAAATAATGAATGAAATAATGATTAAAAAATAATGTCTCTTCTGTATTAGAAAAATAAATATATTAATTAACTAAAAGAAATACCTTCAAATTGAACAAAAATACCTCTCACAAACGTACAAAAACGAACTAGTTTAGTTTTTTTTTTGAAAACCAGGACATCACTTTATAAAAAACGGCCAGGAAGGACGTGAAAACAGGAATGGGATAACAGGACTGTTGGTCACTGGTCACGCTATTGCTGCATAACTTCTGATTTTGAAATAAAAATAGCGAGTGTTTGTGGTACAGCTCACGCAATGCAAACGCAGCATATGCGAAAGCACTTTAGCGCGTGCGGCTCCTGTACCGGATACGCACCGCAACACTCACCGCATACGCACTGCAAACGGAGTATGTGTGAAACGGGCGTTAGTACACGTAGTGTAACAGCGCAGCGCTTCTGTGTTGTACCTCACACACATGACCAGCGTCGGCCAATAGTGAGCCTATGTGTGACGTACAATGCAGAAGTGCTGCGCTGTAGCACAACTGTCCAACTGACGCATAAAACCAAGTCCCGTTTTTTTTAAATTTTTTTTTTTCCTTTCCGATAATTTGCTACACTTGGATATACATCACAATACAGAATAAAATATCTCTTGCTACTTCCCCTACATCACAATTTTAAACATCAAATGCATTTTTTCACACAAAACACAAAACAAGATTTATCTTTTTTTCTGTCAGGTTGTCAAAAATATGAGTCACTGATTCATTCACGAACAAAAACACAACAACAGCTCTCCAGCTGCCTTTTATTAGTTTGGGTATTTGCTAACCAAACAATTCTTCAAAGCTGAGAGTGAATGCAAACGAAAGCTGACTTTTACAGACAGTCTTTAGACTGCATGTTCAAAGTCCAATGTCTTCCAATTTCATGCTTGGATATGAATGAAGTCCACTGAGAGACATTTTTCTATTTCAAACTCGCCAACGTTTGGGAAAACATCCATCAGTAGCTTTTCTAATAAACCGTGTTTTGGATTCCTGTTATTGAAAAGGAAAGATTCTGAATTTTGAAGTCGTATGATTGAATTTTCAGTCATAACATTGAATGTCTCCTATCAAAGTTTGACACTTTGACATTGCTGATATTATTCAAGCCTTGCTCAGATATCATTCTGACAGTTATCACTGTAGCTCTTCATTCACACAGAATGGCACAGCAAGGGAGAGAATCCATCTCATTCTCAAGCCTGGCCGGCTCCAAGCAGTGCTCATTACCACAGGTGACAGTGCAGCTTTTCAGCCGCTGCCAGCCAATGACAGCGGCCATGATGTCATGCTGACCTCTCAGAATGATTCCATTGAAACAGAGCAGGCTTTAGTACAGCTGTCGACCCATCCGCTCAAACCGTGTCACTGACAGCACGAGGATAAGGAGGGGCTTTCATTGAAAAGTCCTCCACATATTTTCTTGGACCCGTGTGAATGGTTCACCAATCTGTACCAGGGATGTGATCATGTCCCTCTCAGGAGAGCTCATCTTGACTTTTACAGAAAGTTTACTTTCTTTGTGGTTAAAATGATAGCTCATCAGCTCACATTTAGTTTCTGAATGAATAATGTGGATTATCAGTATTGAGGGTGAATGGCATGAGTGTTTGCTAAGGGAATGGCAGCATTGAATCTGTATTCAATGTATTCAATAAGTCCTCTTAATGTGTTACTTGTGTTCTATGAAGGTGTATTGGCAGTGTAATGTGTAAATATTGTACTTTAAACACATGCTCTGTTCAAACACTATTGAGCTTCCTCCATAGACTGTATTTTAAGGCATTATTAGGTGTGCTCTAGATTCTAAAGCCTTTGCAGGCCAGCAACTTAAGCCTGGGACACACTGCAATTTTGGCCACGATTCTGAAACAAATTTTGTGAATTTTACATGATTCCTCTGATCACTGTAAAAATGAAAGGATCCCGAAGGAACCTTTTGGGGTTCCTCACTTTGTCACTGCAGAACCCGTTCAAAAGTGGCGGTTCCCTGAGGAACTCTTATATGGAGAATTGTGTGGAACTGCTTTGGGTCCCTCCAGGAACTGAGTTTAACGTTTTATTTCTTGGTGGTACCATAGTTACAATTAAAGTTCACTTTAAAAAAAACAACGTTTGCTGATAATTTACTCACCCCCATGTCATCAAAGATGTCCACATCTTTCTTTCTTCAGTCAAAAAGAAATTAAGGTTTTTGATGAAAACATTCCAGGATTTTCTCCATATAATGGAGTTCATTGGGAACCAAACGGTTCAAGGTCCAAATGAGTTTCAGTGCAGCTTCAAAGGGCTTTAAACGACACCAGACGATGAATAAGGATCTTATCTAGGACCATTTGTTCATTTTGATGAACGAGTTTGAACGAGAGTCACGAATGCTCATCACAGAACAGAGCAAGGCGAGCATTTGTGCTTATAAAACTTTAAACTTTTTTATTAATTTTTGAAATGACCGATCGTTTTGCTAGATAAGATCATTATTCATCGTCTGGTGTCGTTTAAAGCCCTTTGAAGCTGCACTGAAACATCTCATTTGGACCTTGAACCGTTTGGTTCCCATTGAAGTCCATTATATGGAGAAAATCCTGGAATGTTTTCATCAAAAACCTTAATTTCTTTTCGACTGAAGAAAGAAAGACATGGACATCTTGGATGACATGGGGGTGAGTAAATTATCAGCAAAAGTTTTTTAAAAAGTGAACTACTCCTTTAACGTCTCTAAGGTAATAAACAAACTCAACCAAATACAAAATAAGAATAGTCATAGATGCGTTTTACTACATACACTTGCATACACTTTTCCCAAAAATCTAGTAATAGGTCAAATAACAATGAATACATAAGCAACATGAATAATCAACCATTTATATACAATATAGGCTATACAAGATAAGACATCTCAACAAAATGCATGGAAACAATGTTCCTTGTGAAAAAAATGATATGTACAAATTGCATTAACATCTTGACTACACTAATTAAAAGTTCACCAAATATTTTTTTTTTTAGTATACTCCACTTAAAACATTTGTCTCTCAATCCTTTTTTGTTAAGTCTGATGTGATGTCACTATTTCTGGTCCAAAAGCTCTATCAGCTGCCTAAAGCAAACTACAAACAGTGCTAATGTACACTCACAGTGCCACTGTATATACTACTGAAAAATCACGAGCCTAACCTTTATCTCTATACCCAGGTCTCAGATGATCACAGTTATTATTCAGCCTTTATGAATCGTTAAAATATTGAAGTCTGGGATGCCGTGAGACACTGAGTGTACACCGTTTAAAAAAGCTCATCTTAAATGTGTCATCTGAATCAACAGTGCTCATAAACGCCTAGAAAAGAGTAGAAGGCTTGGACCCGGAAACAGAATTCCTTACACAAAACTTAAACGGATAACATCACAACTGATTACATTGTCACACTGTTGACATTGTACAATAGACCTTTTTGCCCACAAAATTTCACAGAATTTTATGTGTGGGTCACAACTGTGAAATTTCAATCAATATAAATAAAATATTCACAAGTGACATTTGATGTGAAGGGTAATTATGGTTACCAATACTTGGAATTTGTCCTACATTTAACCCATCCAAGTAAGTGCACACACAACAGGAGCAGTGAGTAGTAAACACACACACACACACACACACACTGCAATCTGTGGATACACCCACCCGGGACAGCATTAATTACCACACCAAAATTTGAGGGAATTAATGAGTCTGAAAAGTAAAAATATGCAACAGCTTTGTTTTCTGCCAGGCTTCTTTTTTTATCTCGCTTTTCTGATGGATGGTCCTGGCACTTGTAGAGATTTTAAAGCTCTACAAGAGGTTTTCATTCCTGTTCAAACTTGTATTTCAGCATACTAAGCCAAGATCCCTACAAAGTTTAAAAATGTACTGTTAGTCATGTAATTAACGTCATAGATGTGGAAATAAAAACCATTTCCTCATCCTTGTGACATTTCAAACCTGTTTGTAAAAGCAGATCTTGGGGATAATGACACCCCAGTCACCGTTCACTTTCACTGCATTTCTTTTGTTTTAAATCATTCATGAATCCATCCTTACTTAAACTCGTCTTGTTCAATTCAATACATCAGTTTATGTAAAATGTATTGTGTTGAGTCCACAGCAAATGTGTTATGAATTGTGTTAGAAGTCTTCTGAAGCTGTAAAATAGCTTTTATATATAATATATCTATAAGTGTGTGTGTGTGTGTGTATATATATATATATATATATATATACACACACACATAGACACTCATACATGTATATATTAGAGCCCGACCAATAAAGGATTTTGAAGGCTGATACCGTTACAAATATTTGTTGGTTTTAAAATCCGATATTCCGATATATCGGCCAATATTTATTTTTATTTTTGTCAGAAATGCGCAACAAAACATTAACAGATTTCCCTAACATTCCCTAAGTTATTTGTAGTTATTTATGAGTTTTAAGTCAAATATGATTATTGTCACAACAAAACAGAGGAACATGAAAATATATTAAAAGTTCTGATAAATAAAATGTACCTGTACCATACCGAATCGTACCATGCAGTGCAAAAGTGCCATATGTGTCTCCCAGAAGCCCCACAAAATCACTTTTAATAATAGGCTAGTCTTTCTGTGAATATATCTGTAAATGTCTGAATATATGTTTGTCTTCCCCTGCATCAGGATGTTGTCCGGGCTGAGAGAGTGGTTCTGGAACGAGAGGCTATGGTTTCCAGAAGGCCTGGGCTGGGCCAACCTGGAGGATCGCGATGGTGTCATCTACTCCAAAGCATCTGACCTTTGGGTGACCCTACCCATCGCCCTCGTCTTCCTTATCATACGACAGGTCTTTGAAAGGTCAGCATTAGATTGTGTTTTTATGTGGTTTAAGAAACGCCAATGTCAATTTTGTATTTGCAACATATGGTTAATGCACTGGGTTTGAAAGTCAAGTGTTGAGAGTTTTAAAAAAAAAACTTTTGCTGATAATTTACTCACCCCCATGTCATCCAAGATGTCCATGTCTTTCTTTCTTCAGTCGAAAAGAAACTAAGTAAGAAATTAAAAAATAAATAACAAAGTTTACGTTTTATTGGCTGAAATAGTCACCTTCCTCTGTTCTGTGATGCGCGTTCGTGACTCTCCTCTTCGAACTCGTTTATTAAAATGAACAAATCTTTTTCCTCGTCAATTCGTTCGTTGAATGAACCAAATGACGCAAAAAAGATTTGTTCATTTGGATAAACGAGTTCGAAGAGGAGATTCACGAACGCTCACGCTCATCACAGAACAGAGGAAGGCGAGCATTTGTGTTATAAAACTTTAAAGTCTTTTGAACAGTTTGCACTGAAACGGTCTTTTGGACCTTGAACCGTTTGGTTACCAGTAAAGTGCATTATATGGAGAAAAATCCTGGAATGTTTTCATTTCTTTTCGACTGAAGAAAGAATTACATGATATCTTGGATGATATGGGGGTGAGTAAATTATCAGCAAAAGTTTTTTTAAAAGTGAACTACACCTTTAACACTGTTCATCAACTTTAGGACGGTGGCCGTTCGTATGGCCACAGCTATGGGCGTAAAGGAGAAAACCCGAGTGCGAGTGGCTCACGACCCTATAATGGAGTCGTACTTCAGGATCACAAGTAAAAATCCCAAACAGGTACAATTCAACATATTCTACACTGTCCAACTCATCAGTACAGAACAACCCTATGTATATGTACTTTTTGAATGTTTCCCCATTTGCAAGCTTCTGTTTTTCAGTCTACATGTGACCGACATATCTAACTCAACTCATATTTCACCATTAACGGACCCTTCGTGTTTTACATTCCTCTACAGGGCGAAATCGAGAGTTTAGGTAAAAAGACCGGGTACTCAGAGAGACATATCCACAGATGGTTCCGGCGACGACGGAATCAAGAGAGACCAAACCAGCTGAAGAAGTTCAGAGAGGCCAGGTACAGAGCGTTACGCACAGGCTGTCCGATCCCATTCTTTCATAAATGGTCATAAATTGCATCATTCTGCATTCTGCAAGTCTTGCAAAAAGCAATTGACTGCTCGTAAACATCATAAAACGATTGAGTAATCTGAGAATGGTAAGGTATGCAATTATTACACAATATTCACTGTGCAACAAAGAAAAAAAAACATACATTTTCTATTAGGTGGTAGGAAGTCTATTTCACACTGGAGAAACGGTATGTGGTATTAATAAACGGAATAAAATTTGGCTAATGTACCCATCCATTACCCTTGCAAAAATTCACTGTGTTTTACTAACTTTGGGTCGGTCCTTTAATATCTCGCCCTTGACATTTCAACATCTATTTGTCTTGTGCTTCAGAAACGCGTCCAATACGTGTGATTAAAGTTATTAAAGGAATGTGCAGGGTTCAATACAAGAAACATTTGGGATAATGTTGATTTACCTTTTCAAATATTTTCAAACCATCCCCCAGGCTGAGCAGCAAACATCTCAATCCACACAGTTTTGAGAGTACAGTTTTCAATATTATATTATAAGTTTTTAGACTAGTGTGATATTGTTTACCAACCATGTCTGTGCAAAGTTTTATCAAGTCGTGGCCATGTAAACTAAAGACAAATGAAAATTTACACGACCTTACAGTTCAAATATAATTCATGTACGTGATTTAACAAGCTTCATATTTCTAAAGTGCATGACCCGGTTTACTTGTAAGCTAAGTGCACTACTGTAATTGCGTCTTTTATTTTCTGTGGTAATGTACATTATGCCATAAAGGCTTGTCAATAGCTTTTAACTTGTATTGATCTTTGAAAACATCCTTTAAATTAGGTTGTTATCATGCCGTCTCCCACTGTCAGTCACAATAGTAGGTCATAGATGCTTTAAATATAGGCTTAGGTGCTGTTGTTCATGATGTGGTCTTGTAATAGTACAGTTTGTATTGTGAGTGGACTATCTTGCTGTGTGTCCTGTAGTAACTTCATAATGCAAAAATAAGTGTACACCCTTGAACTGAATGGCTGGTGATCAAATAATGTAATAATGTCATTTAGTGATATGAGAGATGCATTGCTTTTTATATTATGTTGCTCATATATGTCGTTTGCTGAAATGGATGTACATTTTCTTACAGTTGGAGATTTACCTTTTACCTTCTTGCTTTCATTGCTGGCCTTGCTGCACTTATTGATGTAAGTTTTTCAAACGCTTCCCTTTTCCAATTTGTTATTATATCAGTATATACTAGCATATCGACCAATGTTTGATCATTTTGAGTTTTATCGGCATGAACCAAATCCTACTTTAAGGCCTATAATATTTATATTAGTGCTCTCAAATCGATTAATCGCATCTAACTTAAGGGTTTTTGTTTACATTATTTATTTATATATATGTATGTATATGTGCGTGTCTGTCTATTACTGTACATATACACAAATTGATATGTATAAATGTGTATGTGTGTGTGTATACAGTATATACACACACAGACATATAATACATATACACATATACTATGTAAACAAACTTTTATGTTTGTTGTGATTAATCGCGATTAATTGATTTGAAATATTTCCTAGTATGGCTGTAGTCATTTTGAATCTTGGCTGGTTGGCTACCATTTTCAAAATGCCCTTTTGTCTTGGGATAGTACAATTTTTTGGGTTTCAAATATATGAATGAGTTTTGTGTAAGTGTTGTTTGTTTTATATAATACTTACTCACAATTCATTCAAAAATTTGAAGATTTCGCATTTTCATCCATAAATGTATCCATTTAATTTCAGCAATATCGTGTACGTCTTGTTTGCTAACATTACATGTATATCCTATCATAATTTATATATAACTATAGATCCAAAGTTGGGGCAAACTTACTTATTCTTTATTATTGCTATTTTAGACATTTTAGAATAAAAGTAAAGCTTTAAAATCAAACACTAAAATCAAACTCTAAAAGAAATTCATACATAGGCATACATATTTGTCTACAAAACACATTTTGTGCAAGCCAAAGACCTTAAAATGAAAATATTAAGAACATGAAAACCCTAAATTTAAATTGTGTCTCCATGTGTTTGCTAAGCCAGTTTTTTTTCCAAAGCAAAAAAAATAATAATGTAATTGCTCTTTTATAGTATTTCAACTTGTTACTCAAGATAAAAATAGCTAAGTAATCTTGCATGCCGTTAAAACACCAACCAACCAAATGTTTGACTGGTGGTTTATATCTACCATTACATCAGGTATCAGCCAACTTGCTCTCTAGATTTTTGGCATTGGCTGTTAAAATACCCATACTAGTGAACCATATCTCATCCATCATACTGTGTAATGTCATACTTGTGACCTGCATTGCTTTTGTTGAGATGAAATGTGAGAGCTTCTTTGTCTTGGCTCATATTCTCTTCATATTGTTTGTCTTTTGCAGAAACCTTGGTTCTACAAAATGGAGGAGATGTGGGCAGGGTTTCCAATGCTAGTATGTTCACTTCTTTTATTCTTCGTCCATTGATTGTAGATTTGAAAAGGGTCTCCACAAGCTTGTCTTAATCTAAAGTGATCTTTCAGTGAACTTTCATGTTGATAAGCCTACAGTATGTAAATAAGAGTGTTTGAGGAGACGCAGAGAACTTTGAATTTGCCATGGGAAATATGCAAACTGATTCCAGATAACCCTACAGCTTTGGATCATGATGTCTGTTCTGTTGACGGTCACACTGAGATATCATCTTTCAAACATATTTGATTAATTTCTTTGTGTTCTGTCTCTCTCTAGCCGCTGCTGCCTTCTCAGTACTGGTACTACATGATCGAACTAGGGTTTTACATGTCTCTTCTCTTCAGCGTGGCGTCAGACGTCAAGCGAAAAGTGAGTGCTGAGAATATCAAAGCCAAAAATAAAAAAAAAGTCAATCTTTTTAATAGAAATATCCAGTATTTGTGGAACCTTGTTTGCGCCACGGAATAAAAATTGCAACTTTTTATCTTACTATTCTTTTTTTCTCTCACAATTTTGACTTTTTTCCCCTCAAAATTGAGAGAAACTCACAATTGGGTGTTATATAGTACAAATATCAAAATATAAGCTCATATTTCTGAGAAAAAATTCAGCTCACAAATCTTTATCATGCAATTTGAACAATTGCAAGTATATTTCACAATTGTCTTTTTCCCCCTCAGAATTGTTTATATGCAATTCTAGCTTTTTTCTCCCTCAGAATTGTGATGTATAGACTTTTAAAAATACCTTTATTTTACACAATGGCAGAAACAAGCTTCCACATCATTGGTTAAAGGTTGATTATTTGTACAAGTATTTCCACAAGATGTCTGTTAGGTGTGTGATGTTATCTGCCATGTTTGTGTTTGGATGTGAGGTTAGTTAATATTTTACTTGAGTGCCTGTGGAAAATCGCTTGTCTCAAAGAGCATAGTAACATAAATTTGGATTTTTATATAGTCTTACATGCCAAAGATGGTTTTAGTGGGGGTTTTGGGGACTTTTCAACTGGGAGACTGGCTGAAGACAAGCTTGGCAAACCAGCTAAGTTCAGCAAACCAACTTGGGCTATTTTAAAAAGCAGTGAAACTGGAGTCTCAGAACAGTACGATCACACATCAGGTTGTCTTTTTAAGCTCTTCGTGAAGTATGTCTCATGTTTAGTGCTATCCATTGAACCTCTAGCTAACTGCGTGAATAAAGCTTTAGAACTACATTGAATGAAGATGATGTACCTTCATCCTAAAGTTTGAAGGAACATTCGAGAGTCTTATAAGATGGTACATCCACACAAAACCTATTTACATTTGGTTTGTAGGTTAAATCGAGCTTTATCCAACATGAAAAAGTCACCTGCCTGAGATAATAAAATGCAACAGATCGAATGTCACCTGGTGATCTTTTCACAAACTGAGTTTAATAGGTCATCTATTTAAAGTGATGTTTTGATTAATCAGTCACCTAGTCTATGGTGCTCATCCTGAACTTTGACTGTGAAGCTGGAGCAATATCATAATAATATCACTCAAGTCAACAGAGTGTGTGAAATCCAAATTCAGTGCCTTAAATTTTTAGAAAAAGAGAAGGAATATGCAAAAGCTATATTACAGATGCAGTTTAGTAGAAAAATGATCAATAAAGAGAAGCATGATCTAATGATGCGTTGTGTTTCGTTTGTTTGTGAAGAAATAGAATGATTTGATGAGAGTATTATAATACCATGATATTTTGTAATATGCATCAGTTAAAAAAAATTGTATTAATATTTTTATTCTGAAGTGGCACATTTTTATTCTTACGAAATCTCATTATGAAATGAATGTTTTTCTCTAATACACATACAGAACCTTCATTTTGTGGTGAGTGACACATTTTTGTGTTTGTCCTGATGGATAATTCAACCACGCCCATTAGAAGATTTCTAGCCTTTTTGTCCCTCGGAGAGTCCTCCGTTTTGTCTACACTAAAACACCCTCCGGAGATTCAAAACACAAAACGGAGCTGCAGCGTTTCTAAACTTCTCCATTTTAGGTCTTCGTTTTTTTCCGTTTTAGTCTGGACGGGAGGTGCAAATGTAGCAAAAGGTCTCCGTTTTTAAAGGAAAACGCAGTAGTGTGAATGGAGCCCAAGACTCGACTAATCTCCGCAATTCTCCAGCTCTGAACCTTTGGAGAGACTTTGTCCACTCAAACTCTCCTCCTCACCTTGCATTAGGACGATGTAGACATCCTCTTCCAGGCAGATTTGTAACATTTCATGTTGATTGGAACTTATTCATTATGTCCTGATGGTGGAATTGGGAATTTTGGGAACAGTCACTTTCTGTTTTGTGAAGCCCAACAATCTTTTACTGCACATCAGGGCCGAGTTTCTCAAAAGTAGATCATAGAACCATTGCCACCAATGCTCCACTAAGGCTCACGATGCTTTTGGGAAACGCAGCCCAGAACTATGTTCTTTGGTTTTACTCATTGTGATGGATGATAAAGAGAATTTGGCCTTCGTGTTTCCTTATTTTTATTATACTCCTGTGAAACAGGAAGTAATGGCTGGATAGTTTCATGTTTCTAGTCAACCTGGTGTGTTGGTTTGCTGTTACTGTTTTTTTTACTGTAATTTATCTCATAAATGAGGCCTTAAAGGAGTAGTTCACTTTTAAAACAACTTTTGCTGAAAATTTACTCACCCCCATGTCATCCAAGATGTCCACGTCTTTCTTTCTTCAGTCGAAAAGAAATTAAGGTTTTTGATAAACATTACAGGATTTTTCTCCATGTAATGCACTTTACTGGTAACCAAACGGTTCAAGGTCCAAAAGACAGTTTCAAAGAGCATTAAACGATTCCAGACGATGAATAATGGTCTTATCAAGCGAAACGTTTAAAAAAAATAAAATAAAGTTTAAGTTTTATAAGCTCAGAACATAGCAAAGTCGCCTTGCTATGTTCTGTGATGCGCGTTCGTGACTCTCCTGTTCGAACTTGTTTATCAAAATGAACGAATCGTTTCCCGAGTCAATTTGTTCATTTTGTTCGTTGAATGAACCAAATGACACGAAAAAAGATTTATTCATTTTGATTCATCGTCTGGAATCGTGTAAAGCCCTTTGAACAAAGAAAGACATGGATATCTTGAATGACACGGGGGTGAGTAAATTATCTGCAAAAGTTTTTTTTTAAAAGTGAACTACTAAAATGAAAATTAGCCCATGATTTACTTGCCCTCAAATCATCCTGGGTGTACGACATTCTTCTTTCAGACGATTACAAACAGTTATATTAAAAAATGTCCTGGCTCTTCCAAGCTTTATGGCAGTGAATGCCTGTTTCTGTTTTGAAGTCCATTAAAGTGCGTCTCTCCATCATACAAGTGTTCCACGCGGCTCCGGGGGGTTAACAAAAGGCCTTCTGAAGCAAAGCAATGCGCTTGTGAAAGAAAATATTCATATTTAGCACGTTACAAAGTAAAATTCTTTTATAAAAAGCACTTTTATGATGGATAGATGCACTTTTATGGACAGAAACAGGCATTCACTTCCATTATAAAGCTTGGAAGGGCATGTTTTAATATAACTCTGATTGTATTTTACCTGAAAGAAGAATGACATATAAACCTAGGATGATTTGAGGGTGAGTAATTCATGGGCTAATTTTAATTTTTGGGTCAACAATCCCTACACAAAGCCGGGTATTTAGAAAAACAAATATTTTCCCCCTCTCCCTTTTTTCAAAAAACACACCCGCATAAATACGCAGTCGAGTGCCATCATAACTATCCCAAACCTATGGGCGGCAGTGTAGGGAGAAGGATAAAGCCATGCAAGCCAATCAGAATCGACAAGAGAGAACCTAAAACGCTGTTTCTCCCAGACAGTTCACACGACAACACAACCGGCGTTTTCAGTTTTTAGAAATAATCATTTTCTGTGATAAAAACAGGGTTTTCATGTAAACGAGAGGCTAAACCGCAGGGAAATATCTGCGTTTTCCCTTCATGTAAACAGGGCCTAAGGGACTACTTTCCAAACCATTACTGACCCCAATCTTTTGATTGGTATTATTCCATATTTATATCATTTACCTGGTACTCCAAATAATGCCATGGCACTATGATGATGTATGTCCAAAGCCATTGTATTATTTTGTTGGTAAGGTAATATTGCCTCTTATTCTCTCTTCCTCAGGACTTTAAAGAACAAATCGTGCACCATGTTGCCACCATCTTGCTGATTAGTTTCTCCTGGTGTGTGAACTACATCAGAGCAGGAACCCTCATTATGCTGGTGCACGACGCCTCTGACTATCTGCTGGAGGTAATGGAACATCTGAAGAACATTAGCGTTGAGACTTTGCCTCTGGAGCTTTGACTTTGTTACATTCAATTAAAAAAACAAACGTTTTTCAAGCAACATTAGAATAAATGCATTTCAAGTGAAAGCAGTAGTTTAACAGAATGCTTGAACCTTGGTGAGTTTGGATAGGACTAGTTTTCTCTGAAGAGGTTTGGGAAATTTTTATTCCAGCCTTTTTTTTTATATATCTTATGCCTCACAATTTCAGTGAATATCATAGAGCAAATTACATATGGTTTTTCTGCTAACTTCCTCCGAGAAGTCTAATCCCATCCATATTCCCGATAGCAGTATCTTTTAATATTGACTTCTCCTTGTTTATTTTGATCTTTGCTGAATATGTTAACTAAAACTACACCTTTATTATAAATTAAGACCTTTTTGAAAACTTTCTGGGCAAAATAAATATCATTTCGGTGGTTCAAGTACTGCTGGCATCCCATCCGATGTAAAACAAATAAAATCAGTAAGGAGAGAGTTGTCTGATCATGGACTTCTCAAAATTGACATTAAAATAATGTTAGTCACCATTAAAATAATTTTATCACATATATAGGTCTTGCCTACTTAATTGAGTTTCGTGACATCCACATCCAGATCCCAGTCCTGTCCAGTCCATGATTTCACAGGTATCCTATATTGATAGTTGTAAGCTTAAGTTTTATATTAACAAATATCTTGTCCAGTGCTGTTACTGAGCTTCATATGCTTTTAAATTCATGTAGATTCTGTAAAAGCCAAGTAATTCAGTAAATCTACTTCAGTCTGTCATAGTGGTTAGAGGGATAGTTCACCCAAAAATTCTGTCATTAATTACTCGCCCTTATGTCGTTCCAAACCTGTAAGACTTTCGTTCATCTTCAAAACACAAACGAATCCCTTCATTGACAGCTACGCAACTACCACTTTAAAAAGTGTAGTTGTAAAACTAATCCATATGAATTGAGCGGTTTAGTCCAAATTTCCTTAAGAGACTCGATCGAGTTTAGGCTTTTATTCACATATAAACATTGATCACCGAAAATAAACAGAAGCTCAACCGAACCTGCTTGAAGCGCGAGAGCAAACCTCGTGCGGAAGCTCAAACGCGCTGCGTAACACGAGAATGAACCTCGTTGGTTCCTGCACGTCAAGCGAACGTGCTTGAGCTTCCGTTTACCACAACTGATGTGTGAATTGATGAATATGTGAATAAAAGTCTAAATTCAATCTGTTCATCATATAAAGCAATTGTGTCTCTTCAGAAAATTGACTAAACCACTAAATTCATATAGATTAGTTTTACGATCACTTTTAAAGCTACACTGTGTGATTTTTACCCCCATCTAGTGGTGAAAAGGTATATGACCATCCAGTGAATATTAGTTTCTGTTCCTCTCAATTCCGATTTCGTTTGAACTCCTACGGTGGCCAATGTAGTCCAAGATTAACATGGCTTCCAGTTCGACCTCGTCCATGAGTGTTAACTCAAACGTAAACGCGAAAGGCGAAGCTTGAATTAACGGGTATGTCCCTCTTTGGCTAATGTACTTTCAAGATGGAGGGGCAACATGGCGACCGACATTAGAACCCCTTACCCGTATGTATTTTTAACACTCACGAGAATACTTTATTACTTGAACGAAGTAAATATACATTAATGAGCACATATATTTTTGAAAGAACTAAGTGTTTTAGCTAAGAATAAACTAAAAGAGTTACACAGTGTAGCTTTAAGAACTTTTTTAAGTGGTAGTTGTGTAGCTGTCAATGGAGGGATATAAAGCTCTCAGATTTCATCAAAAAGTTCTTCATTTGAAGATGTTTTGAAGATGAACAAAAGTCTTATGGGTATGGAATGACATGAGAGTGTAAGTAATGACAGAATTCGTATTTCTGAGTGAACTAACCCTTTAATCCAGGTGTGTAACACTGCTCCCTAGTGGTGCTTTTGTGTAAGAGTCAAAAACACATGTCCTGTCTGTCCTATAACAGTCTGCCAAGATGTTCAACTATGCCGGCTGGAGAAAAGCGTGCAACTATATATTCATCTTATTTGCTGTCGTCTTCATAATCACCAGACTCATCATCTTCCCGTTTGGGTGAGTTAAATTTAAATAATTTTCTATTTTGATCCCAAGGTTTATTATTAAACTATAAATCATTCATTTATCTTGACACTTTCTATTTGTCAAGAGTTATCAAATGAAAGCTCTATAAATAGTAATTTGTGCTTTTCTCCTGGATTTGGTTGAAATGTCGTCTTTAGTTTTTGCTATATACATTTTAAAATTAACTCCATATGTCTTTTCTCTGCACTGCTAGGTAAATGTCAGATGTAAAACTCTCACTTTCTCTCTTTTTGTGTCTCACAGGATCATGCGTTGTACCTGGGTGTATCCAGTGACTATTTATCGTCCGTTCTTTGGGTATTACTTCTTTAACGGGCTGCTGTTTGTGCTGCTTTGTCTGCACATCTTCTGGGCCATACTCATCCTGCGTATGGCTATCAAATTCTTGCCAGGCAATGTAAGTTAACCAACACAGACTCCACTGATTTGGATATTTTATACACTTTAGTTCTGTAACACTGTTGATTTAAAAGCCAGAAGACTAAAATAGCCCCCTTTCCCCATGAATAATTTTTTTTCTCTTAAAATAATAAATATCACATTTCTAACATCATCTTTTGTGCCAAAAGTTACACCGTGTACCTTTTTAAAGGGATAGTTCACTTTGAAAAACATTTTTGGCATGTTTTAGCTTATCTCAAGGGCATCCAAGATGTAGGTGTCTTTGTTTCCCCAATAGTTTCAATTTTTATATTTTTAGGTCAAACCGTTCTTGTCTATCAGTCATATAATGGAGGTCTATGGTCACCACCTCAAAGAGCATGCACGGAGAAGTCCAAATTAAAGATGATTTATTGACTCGTAAATGCAAGTACACATTGATGCCCTAAGACACAAAACAAGCGGTTTGTGTGAGAAAACGAACAGTATTTATATAGTTTTTACCTCTTGTAACGACAGCCACGCACCCGCGCCCTCAGATCACTTGGACATGGCTGTGGTTACAAGAGGTAAAAACGATATAAACGTCTTAGGCCATCAATGTGTACTAACATTTACGAGTCATTAAATCGTGTTTAATTTGGACTTCTCTGTGCATGCTCTTTGAGGTGGTGACCATAGACCTCCATCATATGACTGATAGACAAGAACGGTTTGACCTAAAAAAATATCAAAATTAAAAAAAAAGCTAAATAAGATTTATGAATTGCAAGGATTTAAAAGCTTCATCAAAGTGTATTTGTCCTGCCGCAGAATATCGTGGAGGACGAGAGGAGTGACAAAGAAGAAACGGAGTCTGAGGATGACGAGGACGGCGAGACACCAATGAAAAACGGAGCAGTGCAGAACGGCCACTCTCCCTTAAACAACAACCATCACCGCAAGAATGAGTGATGCTTTCAGAGACGAGAGAAGAGGTACAACACTCCCCTTCATGTGCACATGGACGAGAGAGACCAACAAACTAACGTCAGGGCTGTTTGATAGATTGAAAAGGCCCAGAGCAAACAAACACACACATAATACACATGTAGTATATGTGATACTAATTTTTGGAAACAGAAATACTTTAAAAAAGAGGACCAAAATAACCTCTTACCCTTTGCATACTATTCAAAACACTATTAGCAGGCACGGTCTCATTAAATAACCTTTTTGTTTTCATACGATCTGTTTAGATTGTCTAATGTTAGTGATTCTCCAGTTTAGTACCTTATTAGTACAAAGTTGTACTGCTGTTCTTTTTGGGCATCACACACTGTTATCCTCCCTTTAGTTGTCAGTAAGTGTTTTTTTTTTCTGGTCAACTGTCAGATTTCCCAGTATTTGTGTTCTGAAGTTGCCAGAAACGGACTGGAATTATCTGTCTTTCATGTCCTATATGTTCACTTGACAATAACAGTCTCACCAAGTGACCTTCACGCGCCTGCTTACCTTATTAAAACACACGTGACCTTCATCGCAAGTGTGTGTATACCGAGGGTCTTCCTCGCTGATCTTTCTCCAATGCAGTTGCACTAAAAGATTATTGACCCAGCTTTGCTTCTTTTAGAGATACAAAGACTCAAGATTTGTAATGCCATGATAGCCTGTCCCAAAGTCGATGAATCAGTATGCTGCTTTTTTTTTTTTTTGGGGGGCGTTTAATGTTTGTCTTGTAACCGTTGTGTCTGTAATGAAGCAACAAGTGTGTGTGTGTGTGTGTGTATCAAACTAATATTTGTGTTTTGCTCAGCGTGTGTCCTGTAACACATTTCTGTTAAATGCTCATTCTTAGTTATATCAGTTACACATGCAAGTTATTTTAAAGATTTTTTTGTTTTGTTTTTTCATTTAAGATTATTTTTATTTAAGGTCCAGATTTTTTTAAGCAAGCCTGAAAAGCTGATAATTTATGCAGTACGGGGAAAATTGCTTTGTAAAAAAACAACAACAACAAACTACTTGGCAGCAAACCTGCAGTTTATGTTTTTGTCTCTTCCATTAATATGATAAATTATTTCAATAATCAGTATTGACTGTTGGATGCACTTTGTAACTCTGTCTTATGTAAAATGCATTATAATGATTGTGTTTTCAGCTAACTTTTTGACATAACTGAACCTCTGGTTTGCATTTGTGGTATTTATTGGAAATAAATTCCATAGTTTTCATTAAAAAAGAAAGAAAAAAAAGTTCAATTATGGAATTAGCCCAGTATGTTATGTTTACCCATTGGCTGCTGCTTTACATGAGGTCATATGAAACTTTAAAGGGAGAGTATCCCCAAAAATTCATCTCATTCCAACTAAGATATTGGGATACAGACAAAATTTGGATATCATTGATTGTATTGTATGGACAAAAACAAAAGAATTTTTTTGTGTTCCACAGACAGGATAGTGAAGAAATGATGGCAGAACGTTTTTTTTTTGTTTGTTTTTTTTAGGTGAACTGTCCCTTTAAGTTTCATAGTCAATTGTAAGGTCAGGTTTAACAATTATCTCTTATTATTATAATTGCGCAACAGTTTTACAAATTGTGGTCCACTTTTTTATTTTGTTTTGTTTTTTATCATTATATATGAAAGTCAGTTTCAATACAGGTGCACTTTTGCAAGTGGAACGAGACATCTGGATAGGCTTCTTTTAAGTTTCCGAATGTTTTCACAAGTGCCTTATTTGCAAATGTTTATTTGTGTTGTTTCCATGTGTGCTTGTTTTTCCTTGTGTTCTTCACCTCATCACCTTTAGATTTTAAGCTTGACCATCCTCCTCTCTCTCACTCCTCCTCTGTTTACATACATTCAAATTCATCTCTCCTTGTGGCCCAGTGCCAAGACCAATCCCCCCACCATGTCCCGTCAACTCTGGGTCTACTGTTTGATCAGTGTCCAAACTGCCTGTGTTTTATGTTGTATTTTGGATTATGTCATCAGTCGATGATGAAAGATAAAGATTCTTGTTGATGACAGTTTTATTTTGTCTTCTTGTTTTTATTTTATTTTAATATATATATTTATATATAGACACTCACTCATTGGACCAGGCGACCTTCTTCCCCTTCTCTTCTCCAAGGTCCGGTTCTGATATTTGCATTGACGGACAGCCTTAATGCAGATTTGTATGCCAATTAACTGATATTTGAATGTTTTACATTATTTGCTTAAAACAAGTGAAAGCCCCGCCCTAATCGGCCTGGCAACAGTTTCCAATACATTGGGTGAAGGATATCCTGCGCATTCTGTCTTTTCAGTGTCAAAGTAGTTCTAGTCCAATGAAACTCATTTGACTTTATTTTATCATGACCTCGAATTTAGATTATTGGTCACTGGTATATACCATCTTATATACACACTACCGGTCAAAAGTTTTAGATCAGTATTTTTTTTAATGTTTTTAAATGAAGTCTCTTCTGCTCACCAAGGCTGCTTTATTTGAAGAAAAAAAATGACAAACAGTAATATTGTGAAATTTAAATTTAAAATGACTGTTTTCTATTTTAATATATTTTAAAATGTAATTTGAAAGCTGAATTATATATTATATATATATATATATATATATATATGTATGTGTGTGTATATGTGTGTATATACACATATAACTGTACTAGTTGTTAATTTCTAATGTACTAGTACTAATACTAATGTACTAGTTTTATTAGTATTTTCAACATCATTACTGTTGCTGATTACACAAGTTTTCAGTGTCGCATGATTCTTCAGAAATCATTCATTTATATGATTATATGAATCATTTATATATATATATGTATCAGTGTTGTAGTCGAGACCACCTCACTCGAGTCCGAGTCGACACCGAGACCAGAGAGAGTCGAGTCCGAGTCAAGACCGAGTCCATAGAGAGTCGAGTCCGAGTCGAGTCCGAGACCAGAGACGGTCGAGTTCGAGTCGAGACCGAGACCAGTGAGGGTTGATTACCTAATTTACTTTTATTTACTTAGAGAAATCCTTTTTTTATTTATTTTTTTTACTGAATTTACTTAGAGTTTAAAAAATATGATCAGTTTAGGGTAAAAAGGCCACATAGTAGGTGGTGTTAAAAGTAATTTTATTACAATATGTCATGCGCAGTTGTGCAAACAGAAAATCACCAATCACTGGGCGTGTCAATCAATTTAAAGAAATATTTTATTAACATACATTAATAATCATGAAAAATATTTTTAATTGAACTCGAGTGGACTTGGGAATAATTCCGAGTCCTAAAAAAAAAAATGTTCGAGTACGAGTCAATTCCGAGTCCAAATGCACAGTCTCGAGTACTACAACACTGATATGTATATATAAATATGTGTATATACATATATAAATGTACTAGTTGTTAATTTCTAATGTACTAGTACATATACTAATGGACTAGTTTTTAATTTCAGAGTTATTCAGAATAAATTCAAATGTAACAATTTATTATTAGTAAGATAAATGTATCATCCCAGTTAGTATCCAGATACGTCCTTTGATTTCTCAGAGAGAAGCCCTTCTCCAACTCTAGACCACACAAGGGAACAAATTGGTAAAACATGCTGACGTATTAGTAAGTTGTGGGAATCAATTGTTCGTTTGTGGCCACATTATACATATTTTTTCCCCGACATGTCATGTTTTGGGGCTCCATACTAAATATTCACATGTCTAATACCATCCGCTGTAACTCTCCACTGTTATGGCTACCTGACTCTCCCCTGTGTAATGAACCTTGGACAACATTACAGTTAACTGGCACTTTAATATCTTAGATCAGTTACTGACCACACTATGACTGTTAGCCTTAATGCAGGGTTATGGGCTGAAATCTGATCTCAGATCAGCAATTAGCGTGATCACTCACTGACTGTAATTGGTCCTCTGTGGTAATGTGGTCGTGTCACTTTTCTACCTCCACACATAAGGGTCACAGCGACTGCACACTTGAGTTCAGTTCTCCATGTCTTTCAGCAGTGATCCAGCTCTGTCCCTCCATATCTCTGTGGTACTCTGGCCTACGGGTCATTTAAATCATGTGCTCGGTGTAATCTAAATAAGGTCCGTATACCGCTCTGAGGAGAATGGGATGGGACACCTAAAACAGGTGAGTGCATGATGCCAAATTCATTTATAACAGATATCATGTTATCTAATATGCCTCATTTTTTTTGCGATAAAGTCTCCATGGAAGTGACAGGCATTATAGAATTATTTTCTGATGTACATACTTTGCAAAATGCAAAAATAAGGCATCTATATCTACCAGACAAAGGTTTGGAGTAATTAAAATGTTTTATTTGTTTTTGAAAGCAGTCTATTATTCTCACCAAGTCTGCATTTATTTGATTAAAAATACAGTAATATTGTGAAAAATGATTATAATTTAAAGTTTGATATATTTTAAATGTAATTTATTCCTGCAGGTATTATTCCTTCAGTGTCACATGCTCCTTCAGAATTCATTCTAATATGCTCAAGAAACATCATCAATGCTGATAACAGTTGAGCTGCTTAATATTATTGTGGAATATTATCAATTAATTCAGAGAAGAAATTCTACAAGTTTATAAATGTCACTAATAAAACCAAGAGCAATGTACAGTATTTCCATTTCTGATTCTTATGATTGAAAACCTCCTGTTTACTTGTTAGTATACATATGCGAATGGTAAACAATTAAAGTTTAATCTGTGTTCAGGGTGATGATACATATTTTTAATAAAAATAAACATGTAATATCTCTTATTTAAGTCATATTAATATTATTAGCAATTAATGTTAAATAATGAAATAATATGTCACATAATATTTTATTTCTAAACAGCAGCGGTGTGGTACCTGAAATGAGATCCACCTCCAAGGGGCACCAGATTAGTTGTGCATTGGCTAAGCTTTATCCAGTTACCCTAATTAAATCTCTTTGGTATTGTTCATTATTTATTAGAGGTTTTGGAAATGGACCCATCTCTCTAGTTTACTCAACAATTTCCTCATCTTTCCCCCTTCCTTACCTCCTCAATCTCTTGAACGTGAGTGTAGAAACCATAGCTAACTTGGAAAGGATATCTCTACTACATCACCTTATTCTTTCTTGCTCCATCCGTTTTCTGGCTTGGCGGCCAATCAAATGAAAGGTATCGCCTCCCTTCATTGTCTCAGTTTCTCTTCACGCTGCCCCTGGTGGCGAACTCAATTGCTGTTGAGTATTGTCTTTCTGGTATAGGCCTCTCCCCTCCATCACGTTCTTCTTTGTCCTTCTTTTTTTTTTCCCCCTTGGTGTGACCGTGACGTATCCTTACCTATTTGGTCTGAGGCCTGCTTGAGTTACGGATTACGCATTTGAATCAGGCGTGTGACTGGACCACGGCGTTCAGTAAAGGCCAGAGCTTGATCCACAGCTAGGCTTAACCCAACTCAGCTCCTGTCATTCAACTCCTGTTAAACTATTCATAATGGCTTGGGTGCCAGGAGGAGGCCGCAAATATGCAAATGCACTGTTTGATGAAGTTCCACCAGGTGTATTTGAAGAACGGAGATGTTTGACTGAAAGACTGTCAGAGGGAGGGCAGAGATGGTAATGTAGAAGTGTGTCATGTAGAGGTTAGCACGGAGAGCTGAACTGAACACAGCCAGAGGTCTGAGCTCACATGCAGAAAATCCCTACGCTATCTCACGACCAATTCGTACGAGTGATTCAAAAGTGGCTAATTCGCACTAATTCATACGACCTCACTTGTATGAATTTGTACGATTTGTCTAAACCCACGTGACTGTTATGTTTAGGGGCGGGGTCAGGGGTAGGTCATTCGTACGAATTCATACGAATTGGCTAATTCGTAAAATATGTACGATTTAGCAAAATCGTACGACCTCACTCGTTAGGAATTAGCCACCTCGTAAAATTCGTACGAATTCCCGTGAGATCTGGTTGAAAATCCTCATTATGATGATCACAGTGAAAAGATAATCCTTCCAATTGGTGTCCATTACATATCCCCAAAATAAATAAAACAATTGACAATCTAATAAAAAATGTATGTTTTAGCCACTTCATGCTTTCGTATCGTTAGCTTAGCAACATGCTAAATTGCTACACATGTACGCTGCGTCCGAAATTGAATACTTCCCTACTATATAGTTTGCAAAAAATAATACGCCAACTGAGTAGTATGTCCGAATGCAGAGTAAAGTCCCGCCCCTCCGCTTCCGGCTCATTGGACCTTATTTCGGAAAAAATATGAATGTAGTCAACGGCAAGAGACAACTTATCTTTTTATTCCGTCTGAACTGTGCCCTCAATTACACATATGATGTTTGTCAATTTAAAAGATAATTCTGAAAGTCAAAAACGTCGCAGTTTGTCATAAAACAGAAGAGTAACATTTAGTTTTATGTGAAAATCGCTCTATGAACTACATCTCCCAGGAAGCGAAACAATGAGTGAGATCCGCTGCTCGTGTGTGTGCAGTCTGGTACAAAACATTCAGGCATGACGGCGTAACGTTACGATTATAACGTAAGACTATAGAAACAATGACGGACAATAGCCTCAGTAAAGTTAGCTTCATTAATTGAGAGAAAATGTGCGCCTTTGGGGTTTGTAGTCTTTGTAATTACGTATTTTCACAGTCTTATACCTCAACGGTTTTACATCAAACTGCGACTTTCTTTACTTTAAAATGTATCTTTTAAATTGACAAAGATCATATGTGTAACACAGGGCATAATTCAAACGAGATCAAAATATTTGTTGTCTCTCGCCATTCAATATTTTTCCGAAATAAGGTCCCATTGTGGTCGACCGGAAGGGGAGGGACTTAGGCTCTCTATTCGAAAAACAAGTTCCTGGAGGACTTACTACTTCCTGTGAGATTCTGAAGTGTGCATTCGATGGACACTTTACTATCCCATGAGGCCACGGGAGAGGATTTAGGAATGGCAGTGAAGCGACGTAACTGACGGTTGGTGACGGGGTAATAACAACATGACAGACGTGGTACATCCGAATTTCATTCATGCTACACATACTATATAGAACATACTTTTTTAACAGTTGCGAAGGAAGTTCAAATTCAAATGTACAGTTGTGATTTTTGGATGTAGCGGTAGAGTTTTCCAAATTTTGATACTTTTGAGGTTCTATTTCAGTTATGCAACCACAGTGAAATCATTTGCCCTCAGCCAAAATTCCAATTCGTGTGGATTCAATTTAAAAATGTCTGGATTTCACCTTCTAAAAAAATTGTTGGAACAACCAGTGTTGCAACTTGCAAGGGCCGCAATTTTTGGCGGCGATGTAGAGTAATTGCGATAAGAATCCATACGATCAGGAATTTAATGTGAGGGTGAATATTTCCCGCCACAGATTTTGCAAAGGGTTCTGATTGGTCGTGCCATATTGATGAACAGAAAGCTGCTTGCTTATAAAACGCTACACTTTTGACAATAGACAACTGGCCTTTTTGGCTGAAATTTCGCTAATGTGACTGCAACTTAGACACCTAGACCATAGACAACCTAGAACAGAGCCTATGAAGGGTTATATTTCATCCTTTAGCATCAATATTCCAGGCTATCAATATTCCTCTTGCCTCGTTTCTTGATTACGTAATGGGAATAGAGCCAGTCAAGTTTATTTCGATTTCAGTTGATTTATAATTCATATGGTTGAATCATGCCTTAATTCATTTGACATCAAATGTGGGCTGCAAATATTTAGTTACATTTGCCTGTATGATGTTACTGCTTCATTTTGATAATGATGTTTTTTTTTAACCAGGGTGATGTGGCTTTGTACACCGTAGCAAGCGCTCGTATTGTGGGATCCAATTCGCAAGGGCGCAGTGAAGATCTGTCAAAAAACAAACACTGAAACAGTGATTGCCATTGTACCGATACTCTGTCCCAGTACTAAGAAATTTGACTAAATTTAAAGGAAACAATCACATGTGGATAACATCTCAGTGTTCTTGTGGGTGAACCATCCGTTCAACATTAGTGACACTATCTGACTAGCTTCTCTGGAGCAACACACTTCACCGATGGACCAGCCAGTGCCGCCAGTGCTGGAGATCGATGTGGATTTGGGCTTTGCCATCTTTTTTCTCTTTCTTCTCTGCCTCTTCTTGTTTGCTACTGTTGTGCGTTGCGCTCAAACAGTTGTGGATCCATACGGAGCCATCTCCACCTCCACCTATCAGGAGGAGCAGATAAATAACTAATATCCTGTGATATCAGCCAATACAAACACACTGGATGAAACGCAAGGGTTTTATGAAAACTACATCTGTGTTCAGAATGGAGGACTATGCATTATGCAATGATGAACAATTGTCAAATTCTCTGTCACATGATCATTATGTCATTTTAATCATGAAATGAGGTCTGTTATGCCAGAAATGAATCAAAACAAATTATGTCATCCAGTTATGGCCAAATGTTTGAACAAGCTGGAAATAGAAGGAACTTTAAGTAACATAATTTTGTGTCCTGTCTTCTATTTGCATTATTAGCTATTTACACTGCATTTAGATTTGAATCAGACACTTTACTAATGGGATTAAAAATTCAGAGAGCAAATCACATTGCTAAAACACTGAGCTATCAGCTAATTTTTGAAGTATGAATGAGCACAAGAAGCCAAAGGGGTTTTTCAGAAGTCTTAATTGTTGGTTAGAGTTTTTTTTAACAATACTTTAAATCTTGACAGGCGCCTTGAGCTGCTGTATGTGACTAATGATACAGACAGGTTCTGTGGTTATATTGGCTTTAGTGCTAAAACACCGGGCTCGTCCGGGATTTGAACCCGGGACCTCTCGCACCCTAAGCGAGAATCATACCCCTAGACCAACGAGCCAGACGCTATAGTGCTAGCGTATGCAATATTTACTTCAATTTACATTACATATCGGAATCAATATTACATTAAATATCAAATATAAACATTTGCCATATCGGAAATGGCAAAAGACGCATATAAGCTAAATTTGACATTTTTATTATGCAGCAGCTTTAACGCTAAACCTCACACAGCTGTCAACGAAAGTAGCTGAGTGACGTGGCCATGATGTAGCTATACAACTTTTTTCTGTTAGACGAGACGAGCTTGTTACATGAATTTTCTAAACATTTGAAAATATTTGATCTTGTTCACTGACCTAATAAAACTGGGATTTAATTTAAAGTTTAATCCAATTTGTTTTGTAATTCTAAATAGCCTCCCATGAGTTAATATTGTCGCTAATCGTCTTTAAAACGGCGAATTAGCCTAACAAAATAAAACAAAACAAAAAGTGTTTTAGAGTAGGCCTAAAGCCATTTTATGATTATGTTAATAATTACGTTTGTAATTGTCTTCAAATTATAATCAATATTAGTTTTTTTTTTTTTTTTTTAATATTGGCAATGTGGACCAAAACGTTTATCAAGGTAAAGACATTTGCAGGAAAACACGTACATTTAAAATACTCTGATTTTCATGGGAAAATCGGATTTCATTAGGTCAAATCAAGTAAACAGAATTTGTCTAAAGCTACTTTTCCTGCGAGTGATGCTGCTTGTTACTTCCACTGTCTGTTCAGATATGCATCCATCAAGCTGTCTCACATACTGAGAGGCACTATACCATTTGAGCCAAATCGTCTACACATTCTTTCAAAGATTACTGCCAAAGCAGGACAGCCTGCATGAATTACTTGACCACAATTCACTTATCTGATGAAACACACCATTTTACCTCAGGTTGTTTTGAAATGTGTTAAAGATAACCAGACCAAAATAATGGCAATTATTTTTAATCTGTCCAACATTTTCTTCTGAACATCCTCTTTTATTTAGTAAACCCCGGGCATGTAGCCATTCAGGATCATATTGGCAAACTCGTTATTCTATTGTAGGCAAACAAATGCCCTTGATCCTGTAATAGATAAGATGTCTGTTTTGGAATGCTGAACAGGAGCTTGCTACAGCAATTGCTGTGACCCATGAATGATGCTGCAGCCGCCAGTGTGAAGTCTCGGGGTGGCCGCATCTGCACACACTTGTCTCTCATCATTAGCTGGAAGTGAGCAGTCAGTCTTGATTCCTCTTGTGTGAGGTCTGCTCACTAAAGGACAGGTCAAGTGCATTATTAGTGCACTTGAGATGGCTTTATAGGAAGACATTTCACGTTACCAGCTGCATATTACCACACACTATCATGCATTCCTATCCTATACCCCCAGTTTAACTGGATGAATAGTTAAAATAAATAGTACTCATATCAGACTTATAAATCAATGTAATTGTATTATAGGCCTGATGAAAAGCTAAACGGCATAAAACAACACAGAAAACAACTCTTAACAAAAACATCATACATAGTAGCCACCGTATTTTGAGGCCTATACAATGTTCCGATTAATTTCCATAATCATACATCAGGATATTTAGCCTTCATAAAGGAACTTCGAAAATAAAACACAAAAAAATGATATCTTATCTGAAAAAACAAATGAAGATACCACGTTGGTAGCTACAATTTCGTAGGATTATTTTTGTTTATAAGATAGCCTAAAAAGTCATTGTTTACTATACATTTCCAGCACATATTTTTATGAAGGAACCATTAAACCGTTTATACATTTGTCCTTAGTATAGCCTTTGTATTTTTTAATCATTCAGATAACTAGAATAGCCTTTAACCTAACACTCATAAATAGGGAGAAGAAATACAAATAAAAAAACAACAGCCAGAGGAAAATATTTACAAAAAATGTCAAATTTACAAAACTATATAAAAGAAAGAAAAAATACAGACAAAATTGCGTTCTGTTATTGACCTCATCTGCCTCTACCAAAATGTCCGCGCTCTACGTCCGATGACGCTTTTCCGCTCACGTCCGCGCTCGTCCGATGATATTCGTCTGCTTCCGCTTGGAACTTCCTTTCTGGCAGCGGCTTAATCTTCGCCAACATGCCAGTGAGTACCAGAGAGCGAAAACATGTCAATATACACCACTTATAAGCCATTACGACCTAAATATTGAAGCGCGTCCACGAACATATCCATATTACCGACCTTAATGTGCGCGTAGCCGCATAAACGAGAAGATGAACATAAAAATATGTGTTTAGTCTTGAATGGTTCGGAAGCGTGCGTTCGCGCCCTGCATCAAGATGGCGGCGCACATAGAACAAAATATGGACGTTTATCCGTAACGTGTCGCACATTTAAGTATAGATGTGTTTATGCAGTCTGACATTATTCATTCATAATTTTAACACTGCTAAGTAGTTTAAGTCCCACATCTGAGATGTTACAAATGGCTTAATGACTGTACACGATTACACGAAGCTCTATTTAGTGTCCCAAGTTAAATGTAAATGATCAAGACTCAAAAGGATTTTGCATGGCTACCTCAAAATCTAATGTGATGCCTACTTTGGCACTATTTTTGGGGCATCATATGGGCACTTATGTAAAACCTAAATATGCTATCTGGCTGGGTAACGTTAGCTCGCCATATTTCAATATAAGTGTATGTAAAGTTGCTCGTCAACTGGTGTTTAAAAGCAGTTTTCTCATGTATTGGCATGTTATTTTATTTAAATAGCTCGCAAAAGACTTGCTGCACCCGACCCCTGAGGAGGAGAGGAGGAGGCACAAGAAGAAGCGACTCGTACAGAGTCCCAATTCTTATTTCATGGATGTCAAGTGTCCAGGTAAGTGTACTTCACGTAATCAATATACTGGATGATTGTACTTGTCAGAGCCTGGATGGTCTTAAACGTGTTTTTATGTTTTAATTGTGTTTCAGGATGCTATAAGATCACAACGGTGTTCAGCCACGCACAGACGGTCGTGCTTTGTGTCGGTTGCTCAACTGTGCTGTGTCAGCCCACCGGAGGCAAAGCTCGACTCACAGAAGGTTTGTTTGTGTTTTTACTAAGACTCATGACTGCGACTACAGACCGCGATTTTGGCAATCCTATAAGATCATTTCATATCACACTCTATGACATGTATCTAATAAACTTGGGTATGACATGTATGTATTGTATACTGTATGTTGATGACACTTATATTGAATCATAGGCCATGGTGCAAGTTTGTATTGAAGAATTAAAAATCAACAGCATGCTAGTGGTAAACAGCAAGATAAATCACAATTTGGTAATTGTGGTTTTTATGTGTGCTGAAAAATAGTGGAGTAATCGAAAGAGGAGAATATGGATGTGGTCATGGCTAGGGGAAAAAAAACAACTTGGCATGGCAATTTTGCGAATTTGAGCTTAAAGTAGGTAGTCTTAAGTTTTTGTGCCATATCGCTGCACACCTATACGCCTTTTATGTTGCCTAGTTAGTAGACGTAGGTCGTAGCAGCAAACACACAGTCAGAAAATTATCTCAGACTATCTTTGGTCGCAAGACCGTGACAACAGCCATCTTTGAACCTGAACCTTTGAGCCCTGATTAGTCATCTTTTGCCCAAAATTGTACAATGTGTACCAGCATTAGACATGTTTACGATCACAAGTGAAGTGGAAAAATCAAATAAGCTGTTTGGTTGTTTATTAGTATGACAGTCAGAAATTATTGTATCATCCATAACATGTTGCAATAATGGTATTCCCTTAAGAACTGAGGCTTGACATGAGCTAAACTGTGTTTTTAAAGGAAAAAATAAAGCATTACTTAACAAGAATCAGGAATGTTATTTATTTATTTTTTTTGGATGTAAGGAATGATGCATAAGACAAGTTGTCCATTTGGAAAATGAGTTATTTTGCTTACAGCTAGTTTTACTTTTGATGCTGGTAGATCTGTGATGTCATTGGTTAAAACTGTCACTATATTGTAAATGGCTTTGAACTGCAGACAATACTTCAGGTTAGCAGCCGCCATCTAGTGCAAACATTATTTTGGCTCCGACTTCATATAATGACAGATTAAAATAGTTTTTCATTGAGTATGACACCGTTTGCTGTCTTTATTGTGAGTTTATAAGCCATTGTTCGCACAAGCTGACTTTGTATATGATTTGTGGTGCAGTAATACAGGGATTTTGATGTGCATGATATTGTTCCTGAATATTCATTATTGTTATAGGTCTGCAGTTCATTTATATTATCTGACATCTTTCAAACCTTAAAACTCTTTCAAATGTTGATCTGATTGAAATGGATACTAAGCTGTGTTTTGGATGGATGTTTGTGGTTCTGCTTTGGAACAGATTTATTTGGTTGAATCCTGATGATTAGGGGTGTAACGGTACACAAAAATCACGGTTCGGTACGTACCTCGGTTTTAAAGTCACGGTTCGGTACGTTTTCGATACAGCAAAAAGAAAGAAATGCCAGAGAAATTTCCTATTTGTTTAAAGAAAAAATATTTTTAAATAAGTGTGAGTTTTCCTAGATCTTGAAACTTTCAGGTTTATAAATGGGGGTCATCTTTGAAGGGTGAACAAATAATGTTTTGGTCATCACATTAAAAATAACATTTAAATATATATTTA